AAAAAAAAAAAAGAAAAAAAAAAAAACCCGAAAAAAGCAATGTTATGCAGAAAAATAAACTGAACAACTTTTGCCTCAGGGTCACATCGAAATTCTTCACCAAATTTAAAATAAAAAATAAATTTTAATATATATGTTTTTTATTTTTAATATATTTTATTTTCTTTTAGGGAAAATTTGTCTGGCGCCCATGTATTTTGCGATAATTTGCGTCGCGCCCCTCCGACGGCCGGTTTACCCTGTCGTGCCCCTCTGAGCAGGGTTGAAATTTTTGAACAGACCCCGGTGTCGTTTGGGCCTCAAATCTTTTCGTGACGCCCCTACCGGTACGGGTCAGTAATTTGTGGGATGCCCCTACCAGATGGCCATTAAAAGCCAGCGGACAAATTTTCGAGATGCCCCTACCGGTACCATCCATCTTTTCGGCACGCCCTTGTTGCTGTGGAAGGCACTTTGGGGCATTCCCGCGTGTGTGTGTGTGTGTGTGTGTGTGCGTGTGTGTGTGTGTGTGTGTGTGAGAGAGAGAGAGAGAGAGAGATCTAATTAAATCGGACGAATGTTGTAATGGCCCATCGTTGCAACGTGAGTGAATGTGGCCCAGTAGGCCTGTAAGGGGCTTGTGTCCACGAACGGGCAGTGCCGGCCCACTGTCCTGATGCAGGTGGTTTCATCCTGCCACCTCCCTCTCTCTCTCTCTCTCTCTCTCTCTCTCTCTCTCTCTCTCTCTTTCTGTGTGTGTGTGTGTGGAAAGGCAGTCCGTATACCCGCGCCGCTGTGCCCCATGCATGCTTACTCTTTCCGCGCAGTGGAGCACCAGCGGGCTGAGTCTCTCTCTCTCTCTCTCTCTATATATATATATATATATATATGTGTGACGATATATATATATATATATATGTGACGATATATATATATATATATATATATCTGTGTCTGTCTCTTTCTTTTCAGCGCGTTCCCCATCCCATCCCTGCGTGCATACGCACTATTGCCGCGCAGCGGAGCACAGCGCCGGTGATCGTTTGGGGTGGGGGGGAGAGGCAGGGGAGAGGTACGCAGAGACACAGAGAGAGAGAGAGAGAGAGAGAGAGAGAGAGAGAGAGAGAGAGAGAGAGAGAGAGAGAGAGAGAGGATGAACATTGTGAAATCTGTGGATGCATCTGGTGCAGTTGATGGCCCCGAAACCTTGAAAGTATCGGGAGGACTATCTGCGCCAGATGCAGTTTGCATTGGGGAGAGAGAGAGAGAGAGAGAGAGAGAGAGAGAGAGAGAGAGAGAGAGAGAGAGGGCGTGGACAAACAGTGAAAACTGTGGATCCCTGTGGCGCAGTCGACGGACCCCGTTCATTCGACCTGCAAATCTTGGATGTATAGGGACCATTGACAGCGCCACATGCATTACAAAATTCATGAAAATGTGTGTGTGTGAGAGAGAGAGAGAGAAGTCACAAACTCACCCTCTCTCTCTCTCACACACACACACACACACACACATACACACACACACACGCACTCGCAGGGAAGCGGAAGATATGAAGAACGAGGAGATGGTGTACAGGGAGAACGAAGAAGGTGAGTGACACTCACGGTGGAATGCAGCAGCTTCTCTGCGGCACAACAACGTAGTGGCCGCGTCAAGAAGGACCCAGTTTCGAATCGAATTCGAATTTCTGCGCCTCACGGCTGCGGGGGCATTGCAGAAAGACAGTAAACCCTCATGAGGGCATATGGCACAGGGCCCGACGGAAATGGGACCGCCAGTCCAAGGAGGGCGTCCTGGAAAGTTGAGGTCACTACCGACAAGAGCCTGCCGAAAATATGTTTCGGCCCAGGGGCGCGACAGGGTAAACCGGCCGTCGGAGGGGCGCGACGTGAATTATCGCATGGAAAATTTGTCTGGCGCCCCTGTAATTTGCGTTATTTCCTATCGCGCCCCTCCTACGGCCGCCAAAAAACATTTTCTGCAGGCCCTTGTCCATAGCGACCACAACATTCTAGGATGCCCTCATTCGACTGACGGTCGGGCCCTGTGCCATATGCCCTCATGATGGGTAGCCATCTTTCTGCGATGCCCCCACAGCCGTGAGGCACCACAAATTCGCATTTCCA